TATTCAATGGTTTTTCTTTTAAATCTTCAGTAAATGATCGTATTAAAAGTCGTTCTCTGGAGGTGATTTCAGGGAGAGTTATCCTATGTTGCTTCCAGTGAGGTGAAGATGGTGGGCGGTGGTGGGTGGGGGTGGGTGGGTAGTGGGTGGGTGGTGGTGGTGGGGGGGTGGCTGCAGGAAATGGATCTGACAACTTGCCAAAAACAACTTGATTTAAGTTTGGTGAGGACAATTATACGTGAGGTAGTGAAGCAAACGTAATTATAGGTGATGTGAGGCAAGGTGGAGGAGTGGTGATGTGAGGCAAGGTGGGGGGTGGTGGTGTGAGGCAAGGGTGGGGGTGGTGATGTGGAGGCAAGGGTGGGGGTGGTGAGGCAAGGGGGGGGTGATGTGAGGCAAGGTGGGGTGGTGATGTGAGGCAAGGGTGGGGGGTGGTGATGTGAGGCAAGGTGTGGGGGGTGGTGGTGTGAAGGATGTGAGGCAAGGGGTGGTGATGTGATTCAAGGGTGGGGGTGGTGATGTGAGGCAAGGGTGGGGGGTGGTGATGGCAGGGAAGAGGGGGGGTGATGAGGCAAGGGTGGGGGGTGGTGATGAGGCAAGGTGGAGGAGGCAAGATACATCATAAACTAGACTCCTCTCCTCCTTGTTGATATTCACCATCTGTTTACATCATCAGGACGGTGAAAAATTTCGTGTCAAAAGTTTTCCGGCGTCTTGTTGTGTTCCTGCCAGCCGCCTCCACCACTCTCCTGAGGTCTGCCCCTGTGTTGTTGTTGTTGTTGTCGTGCTGGAGTCTTTGTTGTTGTCGTGCTGGAGTCCTTGTTGTTGTATTCTGACAAGTACTGATATTGGCTGACACTTACTGATCTCGTCTGCTTAACTGAATCAGTGTACAGTTACAAAATGTGTCAGTAGAGAAAACTGTCAGAGCTAATTTATTTGGAGTAAAAGTTGTTAACTGTTGTAATAACCTGCCAGGGGTTGTTGTAACAGAACCAAGTGTGTGATCCTTCCAAGTCTAGATTTGCCCAAACACTGCTACATTCAAGAGCCCATATTTGCCTAGTACTTGGTAATGGTGTGTTACAGAGACTAGACCTATTACCCGGCCGTTTAGTATATTGATTAGTGGAGAAGAGCTTAGTAAGGAATTAACAAGTATAAGAATACCTGTAATTTAAAAACAAGGAAATAGGGTAAATTTGTTCGGCCGATAGAAAATCAAACCAAGAGTAGACAGCTAATGCTACAAGTGTAGTCACATTTAGCTCAGTCTCCCGTGATCTAGTATCATAGAAAACTATCCCTCACTCACGCCAACTCCCGAGAAAGTTCTGGGCTGGAAGACGACACCACCACCACCGCCCACACGAGAGATACACGATGGACGGGAAGCAATTGTCATCATCTATGGAGAAAGTTGAGGAAACTATCTACCTACTGAGAAAAAAGGGGAAATTTCTTACTCTGAAAGGAAATTAGAGCAGTCGAACCTCAAGTCGATTTACACTGTTAAGAAAGGGATTGGCCTGAAGTTTTATGGCGACTTAACAGAATTACTTAGCAACTTGTGAGGGAATTTGAAAGGTAATGTACGCTAATGTTATGCTTTAACACATACAGTCAAATACGTAGATTAACCCCCCAGTGTGAAGTATAGTGAGAGGTGAGATACTGTCAATAATAATAATAATAATAAAGTATATGACACACACACACACACACACACACACACACACACACACACACACACACACACACACACACACACACACACACACACACACACACACACACACACACACACACACACACACACTTTAGGAAACATTAAAAAAAATAGAGGTAAATGTATGGGTCAGAATGATCTTAATCCAGGAGTGAGGAAGAGTTGTGGGAAGGGGGAAGAGGAAAGAGAGTGATAAAGTCTGGAAATGGAGGAAGGAAGTGAAGGATAGACAGGGAAGAGTTGATGAAAGGGAGAGGGAAGAAAGTGATAAAGTGTGGAAATTGAGGAGGGAAATGGCAGTGAAGGAGAAGAGGCAGAAGGAGGAAGAGGAGGCAGGAAGGGAGGAAGTAGAGGCAGAATGAGGAAGAAGAGGCAGAATGAGAGAAGAGGCAGGGTGAGGGAGCAGGAAATCCATCGAGGGGTCAGGTCTTGGCCTCACTGACTACCCTTGACGTGGGAGAAGGGTGAACTGGAACGTGGAAGAGCCTGTTGTTGATTACTCTCCCCCAGTCAATCAGCCGAGAGAGACACCCACCACCCCTCAGTTTACGACCTAACACCTTCAGTAGGACAACCCACGTAGGTAACTCTTCATTTTTCATTCTTGTTTGTTACTCTTGAAAAAAATATTCTCTGTCTTACTAAACATTAATATATCAAACAGCAATTTTTTTATCATAATTGACATAAATATGATTGAGATTTTATTAATTTAAATTTAGATTGAAGGATTTTTATTTTGGGGGAGGAGAATAAAATGTCAATCAGATGGACTGGTATGAAAGGATTTATTAAACTACAAAAAAGGTAGATTGAGATGAGTCTTTCAGTCTTTCAGAAGGATGCCACCAGGACTGAGATAGACTGTTAGAACGTTGAAAGGAGAGGAAGTGTGAGGCAGTGATAGGACAGGAGTGTGAGGCAGTGATAGGACAGGTGTGAGGCAGTGATAGGACAGGAGTGTGAGGCAGTGATAGGACAGGAGTGTGAGCCAGTGATAGGACAGGAGTGGCAGAGAGACAGGAGTGGCAGTGAGAGGAGGATGTACTAACAGTTTACAATACAGGAGGAAGACCTGCCAGGCTTAAAAAGGGTAAAAAAAAAAGAAAAAATAAATAAATCCCGTAAACACAATAACAAAAACAATCACAGCATTTAAACAATCACCTCTTATCCCTCCTCCCGACATAGGTTAGGTTAGGTTAGGTTAGGTTAGAGCCATAATACCTGTGTGTCTTTACAGTGACCTCCAATAATAATCGATAAAAAATAAACTATGGGATGTGAGGTACTGAGTTTGTTCTAAATATATACAGAGGATGAAAAACAGACGAAGACGTTCAAACATTCACTACAGCAATGATGAAAATAATGAGAATTTATACTACAATAGAACCTGAGATAATTAGGGAACGAGATAGATATAATAAATGAGTATAATTAAATGTAGCAAGGCCTGAATAAACCAGAGAATCAGATGGATTATTGAAATTAATATCTGGTCGAGAGATGCAAATTATACGTGGATTTGGTAAACACATCTTCAGAACGTGTCCAATGGAAAGCCGTGGCTGTCACCTTGATTGATTGATTGAGAAGTGTACAGCCTTGGCACTATGGCACCTCCTTCGCGGCACGATGGCACCTCAGCGGCATGATGGCACCTCAGCGGCATGATGGCACCTCAGCGGCATGATGGCACCTCAGCGGCATGATGGCACTCAGACCACACCATACACCCCGAAGAAGGAAGACGACACAACACAACGGAGTGAAGAAGAGGTACAGGTGTGTTGGGGTACAGGTGTGTTGGTGAGGTGTGTTGGCCAGGTATGTTGGGGTGGAGGTGTGTTGGGGTACAGGTGTGTTGGGTACAGGTGTGTTGGGGGACAGGTGTGTTGGGGGTCAGGTACGGGTGGAGGGTACAGGCAGGTGTTGGGGAGGTGTGTTGGGTCAGGTATGTTGGGGTGGAGGTGGAGGAATTTTTCTCTCTTCTTTACACATATACAGTCAATATACGTGTGTGTTTGGTAGTGTGTGTGTGTGTGTGTGTGTGTGTGTGTGTGTGTGTGTGTGTGTGTGTGTGTGTGTGTGTGTGTGTGTGTGTGTGTGTGTAAAGTGAGGAAGGTCTTGGTAGGACGCTCACTGACAGGATGAAGGATGAGCGTCAGCCCCAAGACGGACGGGAAGTTTCCTGCTGCTGAAGATACTGAAGGATTTTAGACACGCCCTATATGGCTACAGACACGGGAGGTACAGACAGACACGAACACAGGCTACTACTACTACTACTACTTGTGAGAAAGATATATACAGACAAGCCTTAGACCAACACAGAGACAAACAAGGAGGAAGGAAACAGACGTAAACAAAGCTTTATATGCAAGCCACAACAAGACGCCGTGGCTGGAGAAGACATACGCTCCTCTCAGACGCCGTGGCTGGAGAAGACATACGCTCCTCTCAGACGCCGTGGCTGGAGACGACATACGCTCCTCTCAGTCTATTGTGCTATGATTATTGTCTTGAAAATGTGGGTGAAAAAGTGGAGCGTCAAACCATGTAGACTGTAGTGTATGTTGAACCTTTACCACAGCCTCTCCCACCCTAGCCATGACCCTGCCTCCGTCCGTCCTTCCATCCCGTCTGTCTGCTTGCTGTTAGATAATTTCTTTTTTTGTTCTCAAACTCAGAAGATGTAATAACGTTGAGGGAAGAAGCCAGTGACTCAGAATGGTATCTTTAATAGTGTTGATTAGCAAGTCTTCCACAGGGGGCACACCTGAACTTGAATAATTAATCAAGAGGTGAAAATCCCTAGACGGTGGTCTAGCCAACCAGTGACCGCGCAGGAATGCCAGGGGCTTTATACAGGGGGAATTAATTACTAATTATGCTTGTTAGTATAATCTGGTTAATCAATATGATCATAGGGAGGCATGGTTGATATTAATGATCCGTTGCTGACGAGGCTGTGGAGCTTCATCAGCATCCTGCACGGCGGAGAGAGAGAGATGTTGTTGGCTGCCTCCCATGTTGTGATCAATAGTGCCCCGCTGCCTCACGTACAATGTCACCACCTGCTATACTTTGTTCATGGGTCAGAACACGATATTATTAACTGGTTTACCATATGAAGTTATAATTAAAGTATAAATGTATGTATTTTAGTGTTTAGCGGTGATACTGTTCAACATCCGTGGTCTTGTTTTAAAGGTACGACAGTGTGTTTCGAGCGGGAAAGTGGACGGGGGGTGAAGTCTGCGGGAATAAAATAATTTCTCATCCACGCTGGAAGGAAACGCAGATCATGCATCCTACAGCTCCCACCCACTGTTAGTAGTTGTTGAAAGAACCCGTTGATACAGTGATACAGTGTAGTGAAGATGATAGTGTAAGGGTCAGCGGGGGCGGGCGTATGTTACTGAGACAAGTGGTGGCTGGCTTGTGTGTGTGTGTGTGTGTCATGTGAGCGGCCGTGACAACAGGCCAGTTGAGAACCTGCAACGTTATGTGACACGGAAAAACAAAACAAAATTGAGGCTTTTATGATGAACAGAAACAAAAGTCGTGCTGTGTCATTCCTCTCCACTGACGACTTCCTCCTCATTAACAGGTGAGTGAGGTAGTTAAGGGTCGTTAAAGGTCATTGCATTGGGGAATAAATATTACTGATATATTTTGTTGACACCGCCTCAACCGTCTCTCTGTTCGTTCATGTGGTAACGTGACGCGTGTGCGGTAATTGTCACTCGGGTGTGGTAACAGTGTGACTCAGATGCGGTAACAGGGTAATTAAGGTTTAGTAACAGTGTGACTCGGATGCGGTAACAGTGTGACAATGATGCGGTAATAGTGTGACTCATGGTTGGTAACAGTGTGACTCGGATGCGGTAACAGTGTGACTTAGATGCGTAACAGTGTGACTCAGGTGAAGTAACGGAGTGAGTCAATAACAACGATATTTAATAATTCCGTGACACGCTACTGTTGTCAGCTTAACACGGAATACCAACCACGACTACTGCCCTCCACTGCCACCACCAACCCTCACTGCCACCACTAACACTGTCACTGCCACCACTAACCCTGTCACTGCCACCACTAACCCTCACTACCACCACTAACATTGTCACTGCCACCACTAACACTGTCACTGCCACCACTAACACTGTCACTGCCACACTAACCCTCGCTGCCACCAAACACTGTCACTGCCACCACTAACCCTCACTGCCACCAATAACACTGTCACTGCCACCACTAACACTGTCACTGCCACCACCACCAACACTGTCACTGCCACCACTAACACTGTCACTGCCACCACTAACACTGTCACTGCCACCACTAACACTGTCACTGCCACCACCAACACTGTCACTGCCACCACTAACCCTCCTGCCACCAATAACACTGTCACTGCCACCACCAACACTGTCACTGCCACCACTAACCCTCACTGCCACCAATAACACTGTCACTCCCACCACCAACACCGTCACTGCCACCACTAACACTGTCACTGCCACCACTAACCCTCCTGCCTACTAACACTGTCACTGCCACCACCAACACTGTCACTGCCACCACTAACACTGTCACTGCACACTAACCCTCACTGCCATAACCCTGTCACTGCCACCACTAACACTGTCACTGCCACCACCACCAACACTGTCACTGCCACCACTAACACTGTCACTGCCACCACTAACACTGTCACTGCCACCACTAACCCTCCTGCCACCAATACACACTGTCCCCACCAACACTGTCTGCCACTAACCCTCCTGCCTACCTGTCACTGCCACCACCAACACCGTCACTGCCACCACTAACACTGTCACTGCCACCACTAACCCTCACTGCCACCAATAACACTGTCACTGCCACCACCAACACTGTCACCACCACTAACACTGTCACTGCCACCACTAACCCTCCCCTGCCACCAATAACTGTCACTGCCACCACTCACTGTCACTGCCACCACTAACCCTCACCCACCACTAACACTGTCACTGCCACCACTAACACTGTCACTGCCACCACTAACACTGTCACTGCCACCACTAACCCTCCTGCCACCACTAACACTGTCACTGCCACCACTAACCCTCACTGCCACCACTAACACTGTCACTGCCACCTAACACTGTCACTGCCACCACTAACACTGTCACTGCCACCACTAACACTGTCTGCCACTAACCCTCCTGCCACCACTAACACTGTCACTGCCACCACCAACACTGTCACTGCCACCACTAACACTGTACTGCCACCACCAACACTGTCACTGCCACCACTAACACTGTCACTGCCACCACTAACACTGTCACCCACCACTAACCCTCACTGCCACCACTAACACTGTCACCACCACCAACACTGTCACTGCCACCACTAACACTCTCACTGCCACCACTAACACTCTCACTGCCACCACTAACACTGTCACCACCCTAACACTGTCACTGCCACCACTAACACTGTCACTGCCACCACTAACCCTCACTGCCACCACTAACACCAGCCAATAAGAACACTCATACTATTTACCTCAATATTTTCATCTGTTCTTATTGGTTTACGACAGATAAGACGTTGGTGGGCGCTGATGCGGTGGGTGTGGGTGGGCGTGGTTGAGTGTTGTTGGGTGTGGGTGGTGTTGGATGGGTGTTATGGGCGTGGATGGGTGTTGGTGGGCGTGATTGGGTGTTGGTGGGCGTGGTCAAATGTTAGTGGGTGGGTGTAGGGGAGTGTTGGTGGGCGTGGTTGAGTGTTGGTGGGCGTGGTTGAGTGTGGGTTATTGAGAATGGTTGAGTGTGTGTGTGATGGGAGTGTATGGAGTGTGGAAGAGAGTGGAGAAGAGTGAGAAAATTTGCGAGAGCGTGGGACAGCTTGTGAGATCGTTGGAGGTCGCAGGAAATATGTTTGGGCGTGAGAGAGAGCATGTGAGAGCGTGGGAGGGCGTGGGAGAGCATGGAAATAGCGTAGGAGGGTGTGTGTTTGTGTGTGTGTGAAAGAGAGAGGCTGGAGGAAGGGTGTGGCTGCCAACTACGTTAACCTAGCACACACACACACACACACACACACACACACACACACACACACACACACACACACACACACACACACACACACACACACACACACACATAAAGGCAATTAATTCGTCAAAACAGAAAGACAACAGATGAACTTTAACCAGATTATCTTTTAATTTATTTTTCCCCGTATTGAATTTTCCAGTTGATTCATGATTTTGAGGTTTTACGCTTCGTGTGGTTCTGAGACAGCGAACCTTCCCTCAGGTATCGAGCGGCTTTCCGGAGATTTATGCCGGAAAATATACCAATCTAGTTGTTCTTTGCCCTCGATCGTCCAGCTCAACACAGCACACACACAGCACAGGGATACTGATATTCTCATAATTTCATGTCGAAAACTTTAAAATATCTTACACTATTCTATCAGGTTTGAGACTGTGTTTATTTCGATAGTGTTAATGATGTTGATTTAGTGTTGTTAAATGAGTGAGACAGAAGCTTTTCTTTTCTTTTGTTTTATTGAAGAGGTAAATATGAACTTTTTTGAGAATTTGGTTTTTGGATTATACCTGTAGTGTGTGTGTGTGTGTGTGTGTGTGTGTGTGTGTGTGTGTGTGTAGGATCAGACTCCCACCACCTGCAGCTACCAAGTCTTACAGCATGACGACCCTCTGTTCGGGGGGAACGACAGTAGTGCAGGTCGTTCTAGGAATCCCCCCTCACCTGGTAGGTTTAAGAGAAGGTCGTTATTTGTCTTTTGTATGAACAATAGGAGTACGACTAGTGTGGGTACTAGGGGAGACACGCTGTTTTATACGATTATAGAGGAGGCATACGATCACAAGAGGGCCCAATATCAGGAAGCAGTGGCTGTAGAAGGCCGGCGGTACACCAGACACAGCTCAGGTCTTTGTTGTCGGGTTGTCGCCGATACGAACTGTAGAAGGAGAAGAGTCGCTGTCGTGTCCTAGGAAATGTTGCAGACTGTGACAAAAGCCTTACTATACCCCAGCATCATCCAGCTCCGTTAAGTGACCATATCAAGAAATGTACACAGTGGGACTCTTCCTTCCTTCCTTCCTTCCTTCCTTCCTTCCTTCCATCCTTCCTTCCTTCCTTCCTTCCTTCCTTCCTTCCTTCCTTCCTTTCCTTTAACTCTGCTGGGAATTCTTTAAGGTAACTTTTATTCTACTTCCTTCTCGTCAATTCTCACTGTATATAACGGGTTACTTAAAGATAATGCCCCACCATTTTCAAAGGGAGGAAAGAGGGGTAGAGGAGAGTGAGATACAGCTACAATTTATTACAGTGGAGAGTATTTAATATTGGTACAGTGGGGGCTGAGGAGGTTACAGGAAACCCCGTTTATAAGACTCGACTGTATCGTATTTATTATTATTACTAATATTATTGAACCCAGTGAGTAAACTTCTCTTATATACCCATAACTGTCGCCAACTGAACCAGGGTAGAGACAGTCATTATCGAGTTCATTTACCAGTTAGGAATTGTCGACGTCAGCTGCGTTAGGTGTGGAACTGACGGTGGCTGACGGTCTAATCGAGTCTCAGGTAGTTTCTTTTCATTATAAATTATAGAAGGGTAGTTAACGGGGCCTAGCTACGGTGCTTCCTCCCAGAAATTCACAGCTATTGGTTGTTTCCCCAGAGAACTTGTAACTACCGTATTATGTCTGGGGTATTCGTGAAGGTCGAGAGTCAGCTGTTAAGAAAAGATTTTCATCAGTCAGGAACCGTGAGTGTCCCGTTAACATTGAGCTTTGTGTGATAACTTCAAGTATTTTGCTACACCTGAAGGATCTTGTGTGTAGGTCGTCTGCAGGATCTGTGTGTAGGTCGTCTGCAGGATCTGTGTGTAGGTCGTCTGCAGGATCTGTGTGTAGGTCGTCTGCAGGATCTGTGTGTAGGTCGTCTGCAGGATCTGTGTGTAGGTCGTCTGCAGGATCTGTGTGTAGGTCGTCTGCAGGATATGTGATAGGTCGTCGCAGGATCTTGTGTAGGTCGTCTGCAGGATCTCTGTGTGTGGGTCGTCTGCAGGATCTGTGTGTAGGTCGTCTGCAGGATCTGTGTGGGTCGTTTGCAGGATCTGTGTATAGGTCGTCTGCAGGATCTGTGTGTGGTCGTCTGCAGAATCTGTGTGTAGGTCGTCTGCAGGATCTGTGTGTGGGTCTGCAGGATCGTGTGTGGGTCGTCTGCAGGATCTCTGTGTGTGGGTGTCTGCAGGATCTGTGTATAGGTCGTCTGGGATCTGTGTGTGGGTCGTCTGCAGGATCTGTGTGTAGGTCGTCTGCAGGATCTGTGTGTAGGTCGTCTGTTTTGTAACTACTTGGTTGCGGAAGATGGACAGTTTTACACATATGGCGAAGAATTCCTTATCATTTAAGAGATTCTGCTTCTCGAGTCTACCCTGCTGTAATTGCGTACGTATTGTTACAGCTTGGGAAATATAGGCGGTCGAGTGCAGTGTCGGCCACGATATCTTCTTGTGCACTGAAGACTGAGTATACAGTGTGTTTGTCTATAAGGTTCACCGTAGCGAC